TGGCAGATTGTCAACAAGGCTGTGCAAACATTGAAAGTCAATCACAGCTTCTGTGCCTCGCTGGGTCTTGGCATTGAGCACTGCTACTTGTTCATTGATCCCTCATTGTAAATCCCTCCCACTGGGGCTAGCCACGCAATTCCAGGAGTCTTCTCCACGTAATAGGAGTCTATAATAGAGATTAAAGCAATCAGGCCTGTTTAGGGTCGCTCAGAAGAAACATCAAAGTGATGGAGATATGAAGTCTTTCTCTGCCCCAGATATTGAATTGCGCAATTGAAGAAAAAGCATTGGAAGGCTTTTTTCTTAACTTGCAGCTACTCCAAAGAGCAAGTATCATGAGTCATGAAAAATAGAGCATTATACATCATCAACAGCTGTTACCATAGCTTTAAAGTCATGTTTATGTAATTTTTGCTTGAATTCCTCAAATATTGGTCACTTTAAACTTTTAAGTTATATTGAAATTATATTGTGCTGAGTTTCAAGATGTCTTTTTACTTTCAATACAGCAGGGGAACTTGAGGTTGGACCGTAATGTCATTCACAGCTGCTGGAGTAACACCAACACCAGGTGCTTTCATTGCACTAATGTTTGAAGGAAGGTGTTTCTCTAGTTATTGCATGTAACATCAGGCAGACCACAGCCCTCAGCCCGTATCCTTGGACTGACTGCGAGCTGACATTTTTGAAGTTACAAGTGATGGATGGAAACCATATGTTGCCAAGATGGGAATATTAAAAATGAAAATAATGGGCATGTTGGTAAAAACACATGGTAATATAATGTACAAAATATCATAATTCCTATGTGTTCCCTCATCCAGTAACTTGCAAGAAAGAATGAAGATAGAAAGGTGATCTCTAAGCAAGCATACAGTAGGTCAGACCATGAGTTATATTCGGAGGGTGTTGAAAAGCAAATAATATTGGGACAAGCCTTCCTTTACAGAGACTGTATTTAACAAGGATAGCATTAGCATAATGAACTGCATAGACCCCACTGATCTAAAAGCAGTCATTTGATTCACCAGGCTACAGATCTTCTACTCCCAGTACATTCAGATTTGGTTGCATTTATATGATTGAGTTATCAATATTCAGACTTGCAGAAAACTAATAGACAGACATCTTAATATGTTTTGTATTCAGTCCCATTATCCAACTAGTATTTTTAGTTTTCAAAAGCACCCTAAATAATCTTTTAGTATATAATAATGAACAATTTAGTTCTTTTCTGGTAGATGTTCTCCCAGTATAATTTCCTATTTCCTGTTTCTTGCATCTCCAGTGTATATATATCTCATTGAGGTAAGTTTCAAATTCTACTCTGAAGCACGGTGGAAAAAGACGCCTGAAAAGTGAATCAATACGAAAAGCTCTCAATTATTGTCTCCATGACAAAGTGATTCATCATGTTATTTCTGAGAAAGCAGGGAAAGATTTGGTGGTAAAGGGGAAATTTAGAGGAAAGAGGGAGTTCAGCCTATTGTGTCAGTATTTCAGTAACAGACTTGAAAATAGCTGAAACCAGTCCCCAAAAGGAAACTATATTCTTTGACTGCTGTAGACAGTGCTCTCTGATTCACTTTCAAATGCTGGTATCAAGTTTTACTCCTGCTCTTCTTCATAGTACAATGAAGGATAACGTTTGTTTAGAGATTTCAAATTTGACACCTCCAAATATTATATATATATACACAATACCATTACCATTACAGTGGATGTTTTTAAAAATGTCTTCCAAATTGTCCTTGTTCTTCACAGTAACTCTGGGCACACACAGTGTGCTCAGTAGCCCATTAGCTGGAAATAGTTTGAAATCCCACACTCCCTGTAAGAAACAGTATCTTTAGTCCTCTTACCCGCTGTGCACATAGCAGGGAAGTGGATATTTACAACAGTCTCCTCTGGAGGAATACAACCCCCCTTCAAAGAGAAATATTCTTATTGCCTTAATCTGTGCTAACATGTACACAAACCAATGTTGCATTAGGGTTGTACTCTACTCTAATTAACCACCCACTTCCCCCCTTCTTTCTTCTATATTATTACATATCCATGCATACATTTATTGATTTTTTCTTGCTGTATTATTGCCTTGTTGGAAAATCCATTTAGAGACTATTCCATAACAAATACTGTAAATACAGTTTCAAAACTGAATCTGAGTCTTGCTTTCCTTTACAGCATGTTCTGTAAATCTAGAACTTTGTTGAAAAGAGAATAATAAATAATCCATCTGACTTTCTTCAGTCTCTTTTGTAGCACCAGGAATTATTTATTGGACAGATTCATGCAAAAATATCAAGTGCAAGGCAGGCAGTGTTGCAGGAATTGCCTGTCAAAATATATACCAAGAGCTCAGCTCTCCGGTGCCAGAGACTCCAATGAATGAATGAATGTTAACATAGTTTAAATCTAAATTACTGCTAAAAATGTATCAACAAACCAAGTGCTGATTAATTCCATCTTTATTTCTGAACAAGATTTGGGATGTCATTTGGCAGTATCTGAGATTCTAGTGGGTTATGCAGTTGTGAGATAGATGCAGTATGTTTTTGTTACACTATGTGCATCCATCTCCTGCTTATGGGTATTCATCAATAACAAAGAGTACACAAAAACACACACATACTGTGTATAGATACAGTGTATGCAGACATATTTCTCCAGACATCATGCTCCATGATTTGAAAGCACTATTTGAAAATTATCTCAGAGATAACTTAGTGCTAGACTAAAAATATAGAGGACTGATGTCAATACTCATCCAAAGCCTTAAGATTGTCTCATTGTGCACCTCTGTGATTTTACCTCATATGAGCAGTGTCCCTAGCAGTGCAAGTGATAGCAGTACAGACTGTGTGAATGACGATCACAATGCAATGCTGAGCTGTTCAAAATCCCAACACTCACAATACAACGCTGAGTGTAGCAAAAATATCCAGCTTTAGGTTTTTCTAAATGTAACTTTGCCCTTCTTCTTCCATCTTTTCAAAAATCTTGATGTGGGGAAGGGCACACCAGAAGGGGATTCACAACCTCGAATCTTTTCATTGTGAAGCCAATTGGTCAGGAGGTTAACCATGTGGGTGACGCAAACCACAGCAGGAGTCAGAAACAAATGAGCAAGCATTCAAATGCAAATCATGAAATGGCGGGAATGTTGAAAAAGAGAGGAAGAGTGCATATGGATTTCAGTGCCCGTTAAGAAGAAAAAGAAAGAGAATCAGGGAGCAGGAAAAGAAAAATAAGGATGACAGCAGGCAGAGGATGAAGAGTTGTGGTTGTGTGTGCGCACTGGGGGCTTACAGTGATTGAGGAATTGGGATTGCAAACTGTCATATTTCTTGGGAATATTGTTTGCATGACGTTGTTCGTTTATGCATCTGTTCATCCTTTGTCTCTGGCACCCTCTTTTGGATTCCCTCTGAGTGTTCACTGAAGTGTGAACATTCTTTTTCTCTGTCGATAAAGGGCCGACAAGTGAAAACAATGGGACTAATCCCCTTCTTTTATTTCTACAATCCACAATTATCATCCCTTTTATATTGTTCCTAGAAGAAGAAAAAAATGTCCCATGCTCGTTCTTTCTGCTGTCTGCTAATTATAACTGGGGTATCTGAGTAAATGCCTCAGTGCTGAAACTATAGTTTCTGCAAGAACACTATCATGCTATTGTGCAGACGTGACAATGTACAGAGAAGCCTGGTGTTCACATAAGCTGGCTAAACTGAGGAATGAGGATTTAATTTTGGAAGCTCACAGATTTTTGCTGCATACTGAGAAAGCCATCAAGCCTAATTACAGTGACTGCACTCTAGGTCAGTGTTGCTTGTTAATTAATGCACTGGCTCTCATTTTTGGCTCTATTATTAACTGGCCCTGGCATCTATGTGAATAGCCTCTCCCCAAAATCTTATTTTTTCAGTCTGTCATAATATATTTGTTTTATTTGTTAGAAAGTGGTAGGTGTCCAGCATTGGTAGAACTGGACTGAGTCCATTACTTCTAAAGTAGTACGATGTTTTTGTCATTTTAGTCCCAGCTTTGCTCATGAAGAAACCGATTTGCCTGTTTATCTCCCACTCAGTGTAAGTCTACAACACAAAATCCATCACCCATTATAGTAGAGTCAAGAGACCCTGCAATCATCATTTGGATAAATCAAAGAGACAGAAGCTAGGATCCCTATTTATTCCTGAAAGATTTATGGGCCAAACCTCCTTACAGGCGTAATGCTATAAATACAGTATATTGCACAATTAAAATATATCAAATGTGCATGCAATATAAACAAGTGACAACAGATTATCATTGTAAAAATAGAATGAAGTTTTTTCCAGAGGCAAATAAATATTAAATGCATCTAAGAGGCAGAGAGCTGGGCTGTGAAATAAAGAGGCTATAAGCTGCAGAGGTTTGAACAGACAAGAACTATCCACAAGAAATGTGGCAAAGGTACTGTATTTATTCCCAATCTTCATTTAGCCTTACAGAGAATTGATTTAAAAGTATTTTTCCAACAATAAAGTTTACTATCAGCTTTTTCATATTGCCAGTTCAAACATTTTCATGCACAAAATTATGAGAATATCATAAGCAAATTGTATTGCTTGGAAATCTATACTTATTACACAACGTACTGTACAGTATGAGCTTGTGCGAGGAATTTTCTCTTCTCATCTCATTTTCGCTCTGTAAATGGGTAATTAAAGTCTATATTATGGGTTTTCAGAAAAATAGAAATAAGGGTTAAACAAACTGAGAAAAGGCTACTTTAAAATTTAGGTTGAAGGGAAACAACACCTTTAAGTAAAAAAAGATTTTTAAGAACTAGGTATGGGAAGGCCAAGCGCACCACCTTTAATTAAAGGTGTACTTTGATTGATGGTTGAAAGATCCAATGAATGATTAAGAGATTGGGTGATTGACCAATAGCTGATGAAGAATTTACGGTAGATCATTCGCAGAATTTTTGAATTGTTGGGTTTGGTAGAAAGTAACCGGTTTGCGGTAATCGCCGTTTTGAATAGCTGAAGAAATCCCCTGTGATTTTCTTCTAACACAGTCATTCTAACACCAGGTAAATTTTCTGGTTTCATTTGCAATGAGACGATTGAAACGTTTTCTTTCACATTATTTTAAGTGCTGATTTTTATGTTGAGTAGCGACATATTAAGTCATCCTGTAATTTCTTTCGATGTATAATATTTTTAATACAGCGTTTTGCCTACGTATCCTTGCGTAAAAAATGAGTGAAAAACATGAAAAGCGTAGGACCATTAACTACAGGTGTAAAGCCCGACATCGCACTTGGTTGATGGTTATAAAATATATTAAATAATGCAAGTCAATATTTAAGTTGTCATAGAAGATTGTAATAATATACAATATATACTGTGTAATAATACATTTTAGCCATGTTTGGCGTATTTTAAGTATCATGTCATGGAAATGTAGCCTGTAACACTTCAATGTCTACAATGGCGTTGGAAAAGTTGGACGTCGGTTTTTAACGAGCTACCGGGAATCACACTTTTTTTTCCCAATCAGATTGTTTAGTGAAACGTTAAAACCCGTGTACATTTATATTCGTTATGTGAATACCACTCAGCTGACTAGAACAGTAGTTAGGGGGGCAGGGGTTAACTGGCTTTTGCAGTTGTATGGATAAAAATACTTTTTTTAAAAAAGCGTCCCACCACCCGTGTTGCCTTGTAATATTTCAGACCATAACTGAAATGAATATTTTCTTTTCCCCCGTTTTTATGCCAGAAACGCATTTATCTTCCTTAAACAATTAAAGATGGACCCTCACCAGCGGGGCATCCGAGAGTTTACCGGCGGAAGGACTCCCGGACCGAGAAGAGGCTTCTTTCGCGACGAGTCCGCATTTGGCCTGTCTTTACCAGCGGCGTCCGGGCTGGGGCTTGCCCGGGCTCCGGCTTTCTCTGGTGATGACACGGCGGTGCGGTCTCTAAGGAGGATGCCATGCCCACCCACGGGCCTTGGTCGTGCCAGGGGGTTACCAGTGCCCGCAGGGGACCCGGTCTCCGGGTGTGCCAGAGGGTTGATCCTACCTTCAGAGGAGCCGCCCCTCCTGCTTGGCAGAGGTGTGACACTTCACGCTCAGAGAAGCGGCTTCAGCAGGGCAGTCGAGCTGGGCGCTCCAGCCGAAAGGCAAAGCCCACCAGTACACCAGCTTCCTCGTTTAGGTGGAGGCAGGGGCTTCCCAGCCCTTCGGGATACACCTGGCTTGCAGGTGGCACAGGTAGGTGCAGCCTCAGTTGGAGAGGTTACTAAGCTGGTCATTACTCTTGTTCTCAAAAGTACGCTGGTCTGCTGCCTGCTGAGTCTAAAGATATTAGTGTGTGAATCAAGAAAAAAATCGTGCCTTTTTTATGTTCTCCTTTGTCCAGTTTTGTAAGCAAACAGATGTTATTGGGAAATGTTTTAGAAATGTAGTGAAGAGTAAGGACCAATAAAAGAACAGTTGTGTCCAGGCTTTGTAAACTGGAACTTGTTCAGCTCACAAATGTAGCAAGAATTTAGGTTTACATTTTTTACTTTGCAAAAATGTGTATTTCGGTCTTGCACATAGACGTGCCGCCTTGATTTCACTGCTTTTTGTTCATCTCTTAATTTGGCATTTTTAGAAGACGAAGTCTAACTTCACTGAAAAACAGTCAAAATATTTACAACATTGCAATGAGAATATCTAAAGCATTGCAAATACAAGGAAATTATTTTTTTTTTAAATGCTATCGATTAATAAGTTAACAGTTATTAATTGTTCATCTCCAGGTTTAACTGATTTTCTAATTAACCATTTCCCATTTTTCACTTTTGCAACTGTATGAGATTGATTGTAAATATTACAATACCTGAAAACTGTTTTTTGAGAGCTGTCTGAGCGGGTTAATCAGTTGCATTATTAGCCCTGACTTAGTTAATTAAAAATGAAGCCTAAACTTGGGTGTACTTTTACTGTTCTTGTGATTTGGAGCTTGTGTTGGTATGTAGAAAGAATACATTTAAAAAAGTAAAAAAGAGTTTTAAGATAACTCGCTAATGGGATAGAAAGATGGCTTCTGTAATAAATCTGTAAGATTTATTTAAATGGTGTTTTCTAAACAGGTCTAAAATATTGCTGTTCAGAAAGTTAATCAATCTTGACCATTTTTGAAAAGCAGTGATGTTTTGTGATTAACTCAGCTGGGAGTGGCAGAGCTTCAAAGCTCTCAAGTTTGTTGTGTAACATGGGAGTTTGTGAAGTGGAGTTCCAATGGACTGTAGATGCGTTACGCAATGCAGTCCAAAGTGTGGCAGCCGCCCTCATTGGTTGAACAGGAGGGATCTTATTTTGTTGTGAGCAGGCGACCTCTCCACCCTCTGGACCGACCCTGGTGTCCATGTTCCGAGGTATTGGGATAGATCCTGTGGAAAAGACACCGTGGGGCAGGGGAGCTCCACAGGGGGGTGAGTGCATTCCCATCATGCTCCTCAAAGTGGAAAGACGGAGACATACCTGCTCTGCTCCTGTATAAGAGAGTCAAAAATTGTTGGTGTAATTCAGTAAGAAATTTACAAAGGGGTAAAAAAATAATGTCCATGTGATGTGTGGCCAAATTGCAACGAAAATGGGGGAGGAAAAACGTAATGGTACTTATCAGCGCAGTTTGGCGATTTTGGTGGCTGTGATAGATTGTCCAACATACAAGATAACATTTAATAACCTAACGTGTGTATATATACCGTATGTGGCTTCAATATAGTGTTTTTTTCTTAATTTCTTTTGAGTTTTTTTGAGCGTAAAATTCTCTTTTTCGATTTAAACAAAGCACTGAATGTCCCTTAATGATTGTCACTTTTGAAATCCTGTCCTTTTCAGTCTTGCAATGGTGTTATAGGGGAAGCTGTTCTTAGTTATTTCTTTTGTGCAGTGTGCCAGAAGAAACCTGAATGACCCACACTGACCTAATTAGCAAAAACTGAAATATACCTCATTCAAATAAAAAAAAAAAGTCTTTGCTTATTATACCCAGACTTGGCTTAGCTTGCAGCTCAGGCCTTCACTCTCTTCTACCAGTCTGGTTCAGTCACAACATTCGACTTGCACATGAGCTTGTTACTTGTTACAGTAGTAAGTGTGCTTGACAGCTGCAGATTCAAAAGGCCACAATGCATTTTCACCAGTTTTAAGATTTAGCTGTGGTGAAAGAAACCAGGAAAATGTTAGCCCTGCAAACTTAGAATCGCATGTTATACCTGGCCTCCAGCAATCTTTTTAAATTTTTTTACCAGCAACTGGATGTGCATAAGCAAAAGCAAGAAATAGCAGGGCCAGCAGGATGTCTACCAGGTGGGAAACCTGTTTGCACTGCTAATGAGGTTGTGGAAAATGTTGTCTTCTGTAAATGGGTCCCAGAGCAGGAACTGGTCAGAGCAGGAAATAAATTGAACAGCTGATCAAGTGAAGAGCTCATTAGCATTACTGACCCTCATCAGTATCGGGATCTGTAAGAAGTTTTAGAAATTCAATTTCAACTGTTCAATTACAGAACTTAGACTCCTTTTTAACCAATTACTATTGTGATAATTGGTGCACCTTGACGACTTATCACTCACTGTGTACGTGTACCATTTTACAAGTTTCATCTCCTGTGTATGAGTGTCTGAAGTCTCAAATTAAGCAGAAATGAAAAATAAGGCCATACTTTGTGTGATCATATATTGTACAGATTGTTATAAAGCCCTGTAACCAGATCTGCTGCATTGACACCTTTGTTTGTGGTGTTTTCTTGTGTTGTTGGGGTTCCAGTGAGTCGCGGTGCATTTGGAGTTGTTGGAGCTGAGGTCAGGCCTGAACCAGCTCCTGCAGTTGCAGAAAAGGCTTCCAGGGGAGATGAAATTAAGGAGAAGGCAATAGGGCGCAGCAGGTAAGGAAACTTCAGCATGAGTCATTCTGTTTCCTGTTGGGCACTTTCCAATTGCTCACGTCTCTTTTTAATTAAATCAGTGCTTTTAAGACCACTTTGTGATTTTGGCCCTGCTGAAAAGATGTTGTGTGCATTATTAAAATTAACTTTGGTGTGAATCAGTCTGTAAATTGATTTTCAGTGCTAATTAAGCCCCTGTCTGTTTTTCTTCCTGTCGATCAGATTAAAATACCAACGCTTGTTTTGCTTTCGGCAACAAGTGTAACAGAGTTGATCAATCATCCTATCAAACATGAGACTTGTTTTCCCCTAGAACCTGTTGAACTCTCTGCAAGAGATCCACAAAACCAAGAATGAGACTTGCTTGAGTGTTGAGTGTCTTCAGTTAAGTAGCTCTAGATAAAGATTTTGTAGAACTGACTTTTCTACTTGATCAATATCTTCCAAATGGCAGGTATATCTGGGGAGGGAAAGTAAGAGCTTGTAGAAATACAAAAGTATGCATGCAGGTACAGTAAGTGCACAAATGGTAGTACACATACTAGTGATTTCCATTTTCATTAAGGACCTGTGGCTGTGTTCCTTTTACAGTTCCCTGGGACACAAAGAGCCAAGCTTTCAAATGATTGGGTTAGGACGAGCAACTTTATCTTCACATGGCTGGGGTAGAGCGTCCCCAACATCTCCTGTCCTCATGCTGCCTCCTCCCACTGCAACTAGTCCTGATCCCCCAGTTCGAGAAGCCTGCAGGAAGCCATCTCCTGCCCCTGTTCCAGTAGGGGAAGTTCAGAAGGAGGGGCCACAGTAAGGAGGCTCTCTTTTTGAAGTTGTGCAACAGGTCTTTATGTTGTAAGAATACTGCTCAGGATTCCTGGGTCCTCTGGATCTTATGATGAAAGCAAGTTCTTTTGGCACAGTCAACTCTGGGGACAATGACCGATTTTCCTAAAAAGTGTCGTTTAAGAGAACCATCTGATTAATAGAAGCAAGCACTTATCATAAGTAACATAAAAAACTATTTAATTGAATCAAATGAAAAATTTCTTAACTTTAGGTCAATACATGGACTTTGACATGGAAGCGCATTAAACGATGTTTAACACATTAAGGTTCTGACTTTACAACAAAGGTTGTAATCTAGTTTTAATTTTTGGTTGTCTTGCGTTTCGAGAACTTAATTAAAATGAATTATGTGGTGGGAGGAACTGTGAGTACTTGATGTGCTTCACAAGTACGGGGGAGAGCATTTTTTAATAAAATGCAAAACATTTCAGCCAATATTTGGTAATCCACATCTGTTATTTGTGGTTGTCAGCAGTATTTTCAGATCCGAGTCTTAAATTTAAGAGGCTGTTTTGTGGTAGATCATGAATTAAACATGCGACAGTTATTTGGAGAAATCATCCTTTTTTTAATCTTGGGACTTATAGCGAGAAAAAATGTTGATGATGAAATTTAAAACTTGGGCGATATGCATACTCAAAACATTTAGCACTATGGGGCCAAAATGCATTCATTTGTACTTCAAAGTGGTCTAGCGACTAACAGCTGCATAGCACTCAGCCAAGGGAAACTGGCAACATAAAGTACTATTTTAAATTAATTTGCAGAGAATGGGTCATATTAAACTCCAACTTGCCTCTTCAGGCACATACAGTATAAGGTATTTTAATCCTATGTCGTTTTTTAATTACTCCGATTAAATTCAGCCAGACGGTTAAAAATATTTACACTTACCACTGCTAAGGGACTTTCCTATTAATCCTCCTGATTAAAAAGTGTTCTGATGGGGAACACCTATTGCATCACAAGGTCTTTGGCAGCTTTTAACTAACTGCATGTTTTTTTTAAAATGTAGTGAGCCATTGCTGAAGAAAGGTATGAAGGGAAATCCTTTGACCATTGGCTCAAACCACATCCCCATCAGTTGCAAGAATGAGGCTGTCTATCAGTACCATGTCACGTTCAGGTAAATGTTTGAAATTGTTTTATGATAAGGCATTATTCACTAAAATGTTTTTCAAATTGGTTGCTCAATATACGGATCACTAAGTTTTTCTAGGATACTAAATGGGGAATAGTTAATACCACGTACAAGAAGAAGATGTTTGGAAATTGAAATTGGTTATAAATGTCACGGCAGTATGGTGAAATTAGGTTTATTATGACTTTTCTTACTTAGGTCTATGTTTTGGCCATTCAAACCAATTTCAAATTTCAACGTTCCCTTTAGAACTGATTTTTTGTTATCGATATCTTGACTGTTGTATCTGATATCATTTAAGTCTTGTGGCATCTGAACTGGTCTTCTGTAATCACAAAATAATAGTTTGTTCATGCTAATTGTGCCTACCAGCTGCTTAAAATGAATTTGAATATTATAGACCACTGGTTCTCAAACTGTGGTTTGTTTTGAGCTCTGAAAAATTGGGATGGGTTTTCATATTTTCTGTTTTAATCAAATTAGTTTGTGTCGCATACGCAGCGTACGTACTACGATGCAGCGCGTGCCAATACTTGAGTGGACACAAGAGCTACAATGTAATTCTATACCATTCTATAGGAATGCGTGCTACGAACGCAAGTGACCAATTGTATTTTAAAAAAAGTTATCTCCAGCAAATAGGGAGGTAGAAGAATATACGTGATTTTGGACCGATGCCAATGTTGTAAGCACAGGATAGCACAGAAATGCACAGAAACTCTGGGAATCTTGTGAGCACAGGAAAGCGTGATAGATAACAGAAAAATATTTATGAGCCGTTTTAGGTTAATTTGAGAAAAATACATCGAGCGTCTCTGTGTTTCGCTCCCATGCGCATGAAATAAAAACTTTTTAACTTCTGAGACAAAGTACTGAAATGGAAACGGGGAAAAATGCAAGCTTGTGGATTGCTTAAGCAGGTAAGCCCCACACTACTTGTGAAGAACTTTGTTTACTGTTGGCAAAAGAGCTGACACGTATTATGTGTGGAGAAAAAGCTGCTGAACAGCTCGACCTGCTGCCCCCTTTGAAAGACACTGTCACTCATAGAATTATTGATAAGGCGGATGATGTCAAAAGTACGCTGATAGAGCGTGTTAAGATGAGCAGATGCTTTTCACTTCAATCAGATGAGTCTATAAATGTCATTAATTTGACCAATTTGCACGTTTACGTTCGATACGAGTTTGAGGGCATGTCCCATGAGGACTTTCTGTTCTGTAAGCCGCTACCAACAGGAACTACAGGAGAGCACATACTTCAGCTTCTGAATGAATTTATCAAAGAGAATGGCATCGACTGGATAAAATGCATCGGAGTTTGTACAGATGGTGCTAGATCGGTGACAAGCCAAAACAGCGGTGTCGTTGGACGAATTAGAGAGGTTGCTCCAGATATGAACTACAGCATCCACCGCTAGGCCTTGGCCGTCAAAAAAATGACCGACGATTTAAAGTCTGTTAGGCTCTGTTGTGAATTGTATCAAGGCTCGACCAATGAATTCACATCTGCTTTGCTCGACTAAACAGGCTCACCCCTCTCACTGAAATGGTGCTTTTTTATTGTTTATTTTTATTTTTTGTTGCTGTTCCTTTTGTCATTCTGTAAAGCGCTTTGAGAAGCCACCTTTAAAGGCGCCATATCAAATAAAGTTTATTATAATATTTATTATACGTGTATGTGAATGTGTGGGCGCAAGCGCTCTCATGTTGGTCATTGAGTTTATCTGGGGTTCCTTTGAGAAGATGACTTGTAGGTGGTACTTGGATGCTTGGGTTTGATCAGGGGTGGTACTTGATCCAAAAAGTTTGAGAACTACTGTTAGAGACCATCTGACAAGTGTTATGTCTGAAAGTTAATTAAGAAGAGTGTCTGTCTTGTAGCCCTAATGTGGAGGCCCGAAGCATGCGGTTCGCCATGTTGAAAGAACACCGCTCTGTCACGGGGGATGTTGTAGCTTTTGACGGCACTATTCTGTACCTCCCAGTAAAGCTGAAAGAGGTGTGTATCTGAAACTTTGATTGTTCATTTTACTGACCTCACTGATCCTGTGGTTTGTCATGAATTCATTTTGGAAGGATATATGGTGTCAATTCCAAGCAAAAAAAAAAGTTTATTTCCAAGAGTTTTTCATTTAACACTCAATGATCTCGTCATTGGCTGGTAAACAACATGGCTGTTTTTAGTTTCACTATTCTTAACACACAGCAGTTAAAGAGACCTAGGAAATTTTACCAAAACAGAACATTTTCAGAGCATCAGGATGATTCAACCAGTATTTCTTCAACCTGGAAACTTATTAGATGGAATAAATGATAAGGCAGGAGAATCTCCACCTTTATACCCTGGAAAGTTAAAAGAAAAGGCTCTTTATAGACAATGCATTAACTCAAAATACAAACAAAAACCCTACATCCATTATTGAGCTCTAGCTATACTTCTGTATATAAAGTCGATCAACAGAAGCACAGCTAAGTTGCTTAATGGCTCCAAACGTTTCCAAAAACCCCACAAGTGTCCACAGGTTCCATGTTGGTCTGCCATTTCCTTCCCTCCCTCTGTTGCAGTTGGGAGATATGATGTCTTACTTAGATATTAGATTCAAACTGACCTGCTAGAAGCCTCGGCTTCCTGGCTTTAACTATCGCTCAACCACTTGTCTTTCACCAATTGGTCATGTGACTGAAGGCGGCATGTTATTCCCCTTTGCTCTCTGTGGATTGAGGTTTAGACCAGAACCACTATCACAACTCCACTTACCACACCTTTACAGCATACAAAAAAGAGCTTTACCAATGGCATAATAAATTCTGATTATATGGATGGTCACCATGGGTAAGGTTTGATCTGTGAAACAGGCTTCGAGATCCTAGAATCTGACTGTCCATGTCCTATTATAGGAGATACACTTGAAAAGCAAGAGATTGACTGACAATGAACAAATTAGCATCAAGATTCAGATGACAAAGATCCTTCCACCCAACTCTGACCTGTGCCTCCCTTTCTACAATGTGGTGTTAAGAAGGTAAGATTGGCTTCTTATGATTGGCTTCCAGGGCATTATACGCTAAGGTGGGAAAAAAATTGAGTATTCTCTCTTCTGGGGTCCATTGCCCAAGATAAACTTGATCTTTTGGGCAGCTTGCACCCCACTGTTTTTTTTAATTCTATTTTGAGCCTAGTGGAGAGTGACCACTATTCTCCAAGTGGGCACCTGGTGCCAGGGCAGATCTGGGCTTATTTGTTAAGGGTTGCTTGAAACTGTTGTTTTGGATTGGATGGGTATATTATGAAAGGTAATTCTAAATGTGGGGGGAATATAGTTCTTCAAGCACATTGCATACTGTGGTGTCACAGGGGGATTGTACAGTATAATCCAAAGAAAGAATGACCAAATTACTCACACCACAAAGCGTTCTTTCAATCCTAACCCCCCTCCCCCCCCCCCCAATTCCAGTTCTGAATCCACAATCCATAAATCAGTATTCGTTTCAGTTCTAATCCGTTGCCGTTTCATTACAAAAATACCTATTGTTAATGACCCTACCCCGAGTGATCTTACAAACGTTAACATTTTCCCTTCCAATAGGAAATAATAAGTGAACGTAGAACATATTTACATTTTAGCCAAGAGCTGTGTGTTATAGTTGAACACAAATTCTAGGTCAGAGGTGCTTACAGCTTTCTGCTGCTGCAATCCTATTTGACCCCTCTTCTGGCTCCATATTCTTAGCACCAGACACTGACTCATGCTTTTTGGGAATGCCACAGCTATTCTTGCGTTTGGATTATTTGTTAATTATTCCCCCTGGAAGACTTTAGATTGACATTGTTTCTAATAAAAAAAATAAAAATAAGCAAAACTAGTAATCTATTAAAATAGTGAATCTTTTTAACTTAATTAGCCTGTTAAGGAAGTAATTTAACAGACAGTTTGTCTAACCCACGCATTTGTTCCTAATTTGATAAAAATGTCTTAATTGTTTAGGTCCCTCATATTGCCGAGTTGAAGAGTGTTGCTTTGGTGTCAACATTATTTTATAGTATAATTACCTTTCTTGACCTGATTTAAATGAAAAGGAATTGAACCTTGGGAAAAATTTTTATGCATTGACTCTCCTCCATATCAGTGCTCTACCTATTTCAGTTAAGCAACAAAACATCGTTAATTATAACGGCTTAAAGCCTAGCAATTAAAACCTAAAAGCCCGGTGTTTTTTTTTTGGTGTGGAAAATGTATTCAGTTGCCAATGATTTTACTTCATTTATTTTTATTGATATGTGACCATTTTGTAACTTTTTTAATTGTTTTACCGAATGTTTTTATTCTGTTTCATGTATTAAGTTTTTTGTATAATGTTTTAGTATAAAGAAAGTTTGGATATTAAGATTTTTCTGGGGTGGAGGCTAGATTCGAAGTATATACTTTCATTTCTTTTGGAGAGGTTGGTGGCTGTTGAAGTGTTTCCCTATGGACTAACCTCACATTGTCACAATACACTATTTTTGTGAGTGGTTGGCTTTAGTCTGTGTGCCTTGCATTGAAGGGTAATGAAGATCTTGGGACTAAAACTAGTGGGACGAAATCATTATGACCCCCAAAATGCGGTGGTGCTTGGAAAGCATAGGTAAGTAATTCTTAGTAATTCTTCTCTAACATTATTTTTTATGTACTGTATATAGGAAGAAAAAAAGATCTATAATGTGTATTAAAATGCATACAACACATCAAATGACAGTATTTTCTTAAAAAATGGCAAATTTAAAAAAATTGTAGACCTTAAACTGCTGTTCTGTCTCTTCTGAACTAGAGCAATGCTTTGACAATATTCAGTAATCATTGGAGTGCTAAAAACATCTTCTAAGTTCATAACGTGTTGATGGATTTTAAACTTTTCATAGCCAAGAAGATTCTTCCTTTTACTATAATCAGTTAACATTCCACTTCTTTCCTAAAGTTGGTTGTCTGTAATAATTCTTTCAGATGCTTTGTTGCCAGAACTGCCTCTTGCTGTATCTAGTGATTACTGTATTTTGAATTTTAGGTTACAAGTGTGGCCTGGCTACTCGGCCTGTTTCAAGCGCACTGACGGAGGGCTTTACTTGTCAGTGGATGTGACCCACAAAGTGCTCCGCAATGACTCTGTGCTGGACATCATGTGAGTTTTTATCTTCTGCTTGCAGGTTTTAAGTTATGGGAATTTCCCTCTTGTATAATTGGTACCCTGCAATGAAGTCATTCATTAAATAGGGAATGAAATAGTTTGTGGAATCGGAGGCCTCCTGAGAGGTCCACATGTTAAGGGTGCGTGCTGGGATGTTTTGAGATCTTGGGTTCGAGTTCGCCATGTCACTAGACAACTGTGACTGAGTTTTGTCCAGGAAGTTGTGCGTTTTGTGGTTTGGTGCTGCTGGAGGCATTGTGGGATTAGCTGTCTAGGGCTTTGTCGAGACCCACTTGGCCTCCTGAGCCCTTGCAGGTGAGTGGTGCCATCAGTAAGGGACACGCCTCTCTCCTGCTGTGGGCCTGTGGTGTATTAAAAGAAGGTGGGAGGGTGAGAGGAATCTGCCATCTCTTCTCTAGTCCCTCCCACAGTTGCATCTCATCCAGGCATCTTAACTGAGAGCTGCGAAATGAAAAACACACGATGGGATAAAACATGTAGGTATAAGAAAGGTCTATTTCTAAATTTTAAAAATTGTATCATTTGTAAGTAGTGGTTCTTAACTGCATACAAATCTTCATCCAAGACTTTAAAATGTTCTCGTAAACCAAAATGCATAGATCAGAGGTTGTCTGCAACTCGAATGTTGTGTTGTAGGAACGTTGTGTACCAGCAGAGCAGGGAGAGCTTTCAGGATGAGTGCACCAAAGAGCTGATTGGCAGCATTGTTATGACACGGTACAACAACCGCACCTACAGAGTGGATGACATTGACTGGGCCAAGTCCCCAAAAGACATGTTCACCATGGCTGATGGATCACAAATTACGTTCATCGATTACTACAGGTATTGTCTGGGACCTTCTTTTCCATTGAGGATGACTGCACTTTTGTAACATGTTATGATTTTTTGAAACATGGCCCTTCTCATTCCAAAGGGCTCTACGTGTAGAAAGTGACCCATTTTATCCACCAGTAAAATGCTGCACCCATGTACCCAGAGAAGAAAAATAGCTTTGTTAATTAAGGGAGAACTTTAAGAAAGACAGAAGGTGCAAATTCAGAGTGGAATTATTCTGGGATACTGGAGTTAACACTCCTATTACTCTTAAAGAGGGCCATGCGATCTTCAATGACCTCAAGTAGAAAATGCCTCATAGCTTTTTTTTTAAAAGTATGGGTATGAATATAGAAAACAAGGTATACAGATTCAAAAAAAAAAGTGGGACTAAAGTCTATTAGAAATAATGTTTTTAGGTGACGATTGTTAAAAACAAATGAAAAAGACTATCAGTAGTGTTACATCTTTCTGCAAGAGTTAGCCAAAGCATTGTGAAGGAAGCTGCAGTTTTCCCAGAACACCTGCAGAGGTATACAAGCGTTATGTCCCAAGAATAAGGCAGCATCAGGAGTACTCATTTGGTACAAAATGCCCGATACCTAAAATAGAATCCAAGTGAAACGGTAAACAAGGCTTTTTCTCATGATGTAGCCCTTATCTTTAAAAAAAATAGCTACATGAATTTTTGGATCTGTTTTTCTGGTGATAACTCATGTTGATGTGAGTGTTTTTTGGGGGCTTTAGAAAAATAATTACAATTGTTTTCATTTTTACGTGAAAGTAATTATTACAATTACTGTTCCTGGCGAAAACAGCTATACTGAAGCAAACATGAACTTCTTAAAACATTTGTATACTCTGTATTTAGCCACTTTACTCTGCATTTAACTGAAATATGAATAAAAGTGAAAGTTAGATTTGCCTTTAATCCTAGGTTAAATGTTATATGTATATTTCCATGTATAAAGCTTGTCTGTCATAGTGTTCACAGAGGTCCCCACAGTAGTAGCAGGAAGCTATGTGAATGGTGCTTAAAGGATAACTGTGTTGTTCTCCTGAACAGTAAACATTATGGCATCACCATCAAGGAGATAGATCAACCTCTTCTTGTGCATCGCCCCAAAGAGAGGTCAACACCTGGAGGAAAGGTGCCGCACTCGTCATTCACACCTGTCAAGCTCTCTTTTATGAAGAGGCTATTTCTTTGGAAATTCAGTTGTGTTTAGGCTTAATATGTGCAGGTTTTATAAGACGTAGCCAAATTAGAAAAGTGGGTGTTTTAGTTTGCAGTGCCTCCTTTCAGTTTTGTCCCATTAAATTGAATTATAGGAATTATGACTACATAATGGGTGTACACATATAACATGAATGGGTGAAAGATGTTTAATGTCAGTAATAACTGCAATTAATAACTACTTGAGATTGTTGTATTTAGATGTAACTAAACCATATCTGAGCAGATTTGATAAGGCACTTAAAATCAATTAAAATTAAATGAATTTTAATTTTAAAAAAGGCACTTTCATCAATTTCCCTACGGGATTAATGAAGTATTATCTATCTGTCTATCAAAACGACACCTTTCACAAGACCTGTTTTTTAGAAGTGGCTGCCCTTCTACTGTAGAAGGATGGAGCGCTGCTGAGGTAGATCACCTCTGTATAATCAGCTATATACAAAATATAATGAGCTGCTGCATCTCAATAGAAATTGAAATCCTTGGAATATTAGTAATTTATTAGGTAGGTCCTTTTGCAATGTTTTTCTTTAAACATTCCCATCTAGATGCAGCATTGCCACCTAGTGTTTGAAAATATGAAGTGTCAAGGCAGTGAACAGCCTAGTTGTTTTGGCTTCCTTAAGACATTTACAAGCGAGTTCTAATTAGATTTTAAGGAGATTTGACACAGAGCTGGTATTGCTTAATACCTTAATCAAACCTCATTGAAGCTGCTGATAGGACAGTTGTCTTTTGTGCAGATTATCACTGGTGAGATACTCCTCCTTCCTGAGCTTTCCTTTATGACCGGGATTCCTGAGAAGATGAGGAAGGATTTCCGAGCTATGAAGGCATGTCAGACCAAATCTGTGACCTATAGAGTACTAATTCATATTGTGATGCTGTGTTGTCAATAGGGCTTCAGGCTGAATGGACACTTCTCAAAGTGTGCTTTGTCCATGGACACTAGACACCTAGAATTTTTTTGGATAATCCATGCGTGTGATGTTAATGTAGAATAGAGAGCAGATTAAGTGTAAAGTCAGTGTGCTGAGGGTGAAGCATTAATAGCATCTAATAACTGCAATTTGGTGTTGAATTATTCTTGTTAAAATGATGATGAAATAGATTTAATGCATGGAATGTTTAATAAAACCAATACAGATGCTGAAGATGCATTCAGATGCATATGTAATAAAATGTTAGCATGCATGTAAATGTAGCGATTGCTTTTATGGTTTTCTTTCAGGATTTGACAATGCATATCAGCTTGAGTGGGGAGCAGCATACAATCTCCTTAAAACAGCTCCTCCACAACATTAACTCCAATGAGGAGGCCTTGACAGAGCTCAGCCGTTGGGGTTTGGTAATCAGTTCTGACATCCTTGTGGTGAGTCTGACCTTCCTTCCCACACAGACAGGACAGGCTTTAGCAGACTAAACATGAACGGTGGCAAGGAGAGTTTCTGAGTATGTTGAAGCTGCCGGGCAAGGATTGTACTTTTTCTCCAGTGCTATGAGGTTAAAAATGAGAGGTAGCCATTTGCCCCATTTCGCCTATCTTGTAGTTAGTAGATTTTGATTTAAAAAACTCATCTATCTGTTTCTTGAAAGAAATCAGGCTGTTGACTTGGTTTGGTGACTGGGAAGGCTGTCGTTTAAACCTACAACCCTTTCGGTAAAATAGTAAATCAAGATAAAATCAAATCAAAGTTTATTTATCAAATGCACAACAATACAGGGTGCAGCAGTAGTTGCTGGCAATTAAATGTCTTTTCCGCGAGCTCACAGAATAACAAAAATCACAAAATTTAGGTTATGAAGATAAGGTTACATAATTAAAGATGTAATAGAAATTGAATAAAACTCAATATGAGTAGAGCTGCTGTGTGTCCATGGTGTATGCAATATATACAAGTAGTGCAGTTATGCTGAATACAGTGAACACTGTGTGTCCATGTAGCCATTACAGGTGATTTGCTAAAGGAGCTGCAGGTTGGCTATTTAGCAGTCTTATTGCCTGGAGGTAGAAGCTGTTCCGTAGTCTGTTGGACTTGGACCGAAATGCTTTGGTACCGTTTACCGGACGGTAGGAGGGAAAACAGTTTGTGACTGGGATGACTGGGGTCCTTGAGAATGGACCTGGCCTTCTTCAGACATCTAGCTAGGTAGATATCCTGGATGTTTGGGAGGTCACAGCCGGTAATGAGCTGCGCTGACTTCACCACCCTCTGCAGTACTTTGCGATCCCGGGTGGAGCAGTTCCCATACCAGGCAGTGATGCAACCAGAAAGAATAGGTGCTGCCGTGCTGTTTTGACCACAGTGTTGGTGTGGTGGGTCCAGGCTAAGTCCTTTAAGATGTTAACTCCCAGGAACTTAAAACTGCTGACCCTCTCCACTGCAGTCCCATTGATGTACTGTAGATAGGTGTGTGATCTCCTACCTGGTGTTTTCTATAGTCCACAATCATCTCCTTAGTCTTACTGATGTTCAGAGAGAGGTTGTTCTCCTGGCACCGTGCTGCCAGGGTTTCAACCTCCTCCCTGTACGCAGACTCTTCACCATCTGCGATCATGCTGGTGACTGTTGTATCATCCTCAAACTTAATGATGGAGTTTGAGTTATGCCTGGTGACACAATCGTGAATAAGTGAGGTGTAGAGGACAGGGCTAAGCACACAGCCTTGGGGGGCTCCAGTATACTTGATCTTGTGAAGATCAAGTACCTCTTGATCCTCATTTTAAATCTACTTCTACATACAGTTTTGTGCCCTCTGTGAGAAGGTGCTGGGCTGACTTGGTCATTGTCTTTTGATCATTTTGAATACTTGTCAGGATTTTGAATCTTTGCAAAAAACAACAACAGGCGATGTGCAAAACAACAAAAAGGTAACAGGTTATGTGCAAAAACATGCATCAACAGAATGAAATAAAGGGATAGCAATTATGGGGCGTGAGCTTTTAACATGTATGGTAGAGGTAGATTTTCAATGTGTGTTTGGGTTTTTGGTAAGAACAAAGGCACTGCGAGGTTCAGATTATAGGTGAGAGGTGAGGTGAGAGTGAGAGAGGCTGGGAGTTTAATAGTTTGATAGCGCAGGGGTAAAAACTGTCTCTGAGTCTGGTAGTCCGGGCCGAATGCTCCAGTACTGTTTTCCAGATGGTAGCAAATCATAAAGTCTGTAGCTGGGGTGTGTGGGGTCTTTAATGATGCTTAGAGCTTTCCTCAAGCACCGTCTGTCATAAACATCCTGGATAGATGGGAGGGCAACCCCAGTGATGGACTGGGCAGTTTTCACCACCCGCTGTAGGGCTTTGCGGTCAGCAGCACTGCAGTTGCCATACCACACTTTTAGTGTCCAAATCATGAATTCTCTGTGCTTTGATGTTTTTGTATAGACATTAAAAGTAAATATTTTAGAATGTAGGTTAAAAGCGTAGTAATGGACGAAAATGAAATAATCAAGAGCACCCTGATGTTAAATTTTAAAAAAAATGAGAGAGCAGTTTTGTAATTGACACTACTGAAGAAGGTAAGCCCAACAAGTATTGTGATTTTTCCAATGTAGTAAAGAAACAAATAAAAGAGTAATCAGCCTTTTTGCAGAAAATGAGATGTGTTGATTGAGGGCAGACCACTTTTATACTTTTTTACCCATTTGTTTACTCAACAATAGATTTGAAGGTCATCCTGATGTACACAGGAATCTTGTTTTTCCGTTTTGGAATCATTGGTCAATAGCACTTTAAAAATGTGAGGAAGAGAGATAAACATCTCCTTGAAAGCCTAATGCGTATAACAAAAAGAAGACAGTTTCATGACACTACATTTTATACTGAAATGCACAGGACTTAAGCAAAATTGGAGAAAGGGCTTGTGTGGAGGTGATGCTTTTCTTTTCACAGTCTCGAAAAACAGGCTGTCTGAAGAACGTCTCAAAGAGGCTAGAGGAAATGGGACATGCATGGTTACGTTTCTGCAGAAAAGTGCTTTCAAACAGCTACACCGTGTACTGGAAACATAACTGTTAAATGGCCTATAAAGATAGAACTTTTTTGTGGAAGTTTGAATTCAGGTCCCAAAAGTCTTGAGAGGCAAATTTCACATTTATTGAGTATAATACATCATTGACAAGGCATTGAAATTGCATGACAGTTTTTCAAGTAACTGACATTTGAAGTTTTAAAAGCACAATTACCACAGGAACGTTTGAAACGGTGCCAATAACGTTTATGGACCTCCTAGGATGGTCTTTATTCTTTAATACTAATTTTGTTTTATGTCAGAAATCAGTTTTTGGTCTGTAAAATAAATCTTAATCAAGACTGGTATACTGTGTGGTAATTATAATTGTGGTCCATAAAACAGCAGTGTATGGTGTAATGCAAAGTAACATTCTTTAGATTGTAATTATGCATTGCTTTCTAAACCTGGTTTTGACTGTATTTCCTATAGAACATTTTAGTCATTGTTTTGACAGTGTGAAGGAAGGACACTGCCCCTTGAGACCATCTTCCTGCAGTCTGCCTCCTTCGTGACGTCTCCGGAAATAAGCTGGTCGAGGGAGGTGGTCCGGGACGCTTCTATCAGCTCTGTAAGTGATGGCTGCAGTTTGAAAATGGATTGGAAAGGGATGGTGACATCCCAAATCTGGGTGCGTTTGATTTGCTCTGGTTCTGGATGAGATCTGTTACCATTGTGTAGAAGCAAGCAGCTGCGTATAGCTAAATGCTTGGTTCTAAAACTTGAGCGTGGTATTAATGAATGTAAAAAGGAGATGGCAAAGGTGGTGAGTTTTTACATTTTTGTTGCACTTGCTAGTTTACCGTTTGTCGGTTGTACCCAGGTTCCTCTGAACTGCTGGGCCATCTTCTACCCACGGCGCTGCTCGGACCAGGCAGAGGAGTTGGTGACCACCTTCGGGAAAGTGGCCGGGCCCATTGGGTTCAGAGTGGGCCGGCCCATCCGCGTGGAGCTGAGGGATGATCGCACTGAGACCTACGTCAGGAGCATCCACTCGCAGCTTGCCATGGAGGTGGGCAGGCCGCAGATGACCATGGCGTTTCTGCAGTTACACCGATTTATTTTGCGATTGTGTGCAAGACCCATTCAGCAAGGTCATTTTAGTTATATGCAAAATTTGGATGCGTTTATTTTCTTGTTCTTTCTAGCCCAATGTGCAGCTTGTGGTTTGCATCCTCACTGGCAACAGAGATGACCTCTACAGTGCCATTAAAAAGGTCTGCTGTGTGCAGACTCCAGTGCCTTCTCAGGTCAGACTATCCACGTTATGGTCTTTGTTTATATCGTGTTTAACAGGAAAGTTATGAAACCATGCTTAAACCCTGTCCTTACTATGATAAGCACCCATCCATTATCTAGCTGCTTTATCCCATACAGGGGGTAGCAGTGGAGCCAGAGCCAATCCTAGCAAGCAGTTGGTGCAAAGCAGGGTACACCCTGGATGGGACACAAGTACATCCCAAAGTACACAGATACAAACAAGCACTTGCTAACACCAAGTCCAGGTTCCCGTAAGCAAGTTAACCTACCACCAAGTTTTTGGATTGTGGGAGGAACCCAGAGCACCTGGTGGAAATTTAATTTTCTTTGACTATTTTGAAAAAAAATATCCTTCAAAAAGTTTAAATTACAGGATCTCCAACCGAGAGGAACAAGTCTCGGTTTTCATTGTGTACTACAGATCACTTAAACTACCTTATCCACCCAGCATTCTTCAATACATTTAACATTTGTTGTTCCTGTGGCTTGTTATACTGATACATTACTTACTGACACATTGTGCAGCCTTGGAAATGTTGCTTTTTGTTCTCACATTCCGGAACTGACCTTTGGTTTACTTAGGGAGTGTAGACCTCTTACTTTTTGTCTCACTTCCTTCATTGTAGTAACCTTAAACAATTGTTTGAAATATGTTTCGCCTAAAACTGTCTTCTTTGTTAAAACTGATTTTTGAATATTACAGGCTATAAATATCAGGACCATTTCTCAGCCTCAAAAACTGAGGAGCATTGCCCAAAAGATCCTGTTGCAGATAAACTGTAAGCTAGGAGGGGAGCTTTGGAGTGTCAGTATTCCCCTGGTAAGCACCTGCTGTCTTGCAGCTAACTAGATGAAATACTGAAAAATAATAACTGTTTTCTAAGCATTTTTGTCTTGTCCTCTTGGAGTACACTTTGTACTCCAAATCGAAGAATTCACTATTGGTCTCATTCTGGATGTGGGTCAGTATATTCACTGTGTGGTTCACTTGAAAGCTTATCTATTCAACACTTTACATTAGATAAAACATGTCCAGCTTCTCTTGATGACAGAAGAACCAATGGCTACAGTGATGCTGGCCATTTAAAATGTATTGATCTTTTTGTCTGAAATGAAAGAGTTTAATGATAGAACTTCCAAATACTCAGCAGTAGAAAAGAAGTTAACTGCTGTTTTCAAATTTAGGCAGGAGATACGTGACGACATGCTGCAAATTACGGTGCCCGTTAAGTCTTTCAAATTTCTTAGACTTGGACAGGTCATGTCACACAAAAGTACTGTTTCAGAAGAGTATTCTACCGATTAAATTTAAATGATTTTCCATTTTTTTCCACAGTTGGTTGGGAAATGACAGTCAGAGTCGGGTAGTGACGTGACCCTGGCTCGAACCCTCCCCTTGAAGGGAGACATTACTCATTTGAGCCATTTGGGAGGCCAAGGGGAATGTGGGCCACAGTTTGTGAACAGAGCTATATGCAGCTACATCACCTGCTTTGCAGTCAAATTAAATTTGTACAGACAGGAAAAGGGTGGGGAGTTGTGAAGTGGAAATCTACTTAGGGTGGGATTGAGAATTCTAATCTACATTTTTTAGCACTAGGGTTGCCCCAATTCATTTTAATTTTTTTTGACAGCATTTATTACCCATTCAAATTGTGTGATGTAGTAATGCATGTAAGCTCCTTCAAATGAGCAACTTAGGGAAGCTTGATTTTTGTTGCATTTGTAAAAGTTACCCAGAACTTAATGTTTGTGTTTTTAGTTCAGAATGAAGAGTAATAGTTCACAACAGAGTTTGCCTTCATGCTGCTTGAGATGCCAAAAAAGCACAGGCACTTAAATTCTAACTGCTACTTGCATTTGTTTATAGTAGAAACTGTAAACATTAATGTTGCTACGGAAATGTTTCCATAAAGCTTGTGATGCTTCATTTGCAAAATTCAGCCTGGCACTTTTGTTGCTTTACAAAAGAAACTGGCTGCAAAATGCATCTTGAATACACCTGCAGGCAAGACACATCCAGATAGAGAGAAATTGTTGTGGTATGCTTTGTACTAGTTATGCTGATAAAAGAAACAGCACAGAAGTTCTGACGGTGTTCGAGCCACAATGAAGCACTAAAATCTAGTCTGCTACAAGCAAAAAATTAATTCTCTTAAACTAAAAACTTTTATCAGTTCATAATTTATTCTGGCCAGTGCTATTCACAGTCTGTTTTCTTTGAATGTTTTACTACTTGAATCAGTGATAATGTGCAGTCATTTTTTCAATGTGCAGTCATTTTTTCCTTAGGTACTTCCTTTTTAGGAACTCATTTTGTTCAGTGGGGGATGCACCTCAAAGTAGTGAATGACAAGTGTTGTGGAAATGTTTACCAGTTTTGCCTCTGTGCAATGTGAATTTTGCGTTGAACTGTGTTTAGGTGCTTTAAAAGCGTTCTAAACAATCTTTATTTGAGACGTGGGAGTAAATTGTGAATACTCTCTTTTTTTGGTGTCATTATTTTGTGGGTAAATAATTTTATTTTGTGGGTGTACAGTAACTGGCACAAACAAAAACAGCTGATAGCCCTTCACCTGTATAAGGAAAATTTAATCAGCTGTCAATATATCAATGCAGTGCTAGCTGGTGCAAAGCTGTGCACGTCTTATAGGGATTTAATTGATGTCATGTTTTTGCCTTTTGATATCTGCTAACAGAAACAGTTGATGGTGATTGGAGTTGATGTACATCATGACCCCAGCAAGAAGAAACGGTCGGTCATGGGTTTTGTGGCCAGTCTTAACAGGTATCTGGGCTCAGCAGATGACAAATGATACATTTCTTCCAATTGGTATTTTTTTATAACAGGCTGATTTGTGAGCACTAATAAAACATCTGAATACTCTTGCTTTCTTGCAAGACGACCTCTTTGACTGTTGCTGGAAATTGGATTAACCTGAGTCTCTACAACATAAATAGTGCTTAAAAGACATTCTTTAACATTTTAGCACGATATTAAGAGACGTTGTACAGACACTTCAAGAATCGATTGTTTGGATTCTTATTCAGATTATTATCATGTAGTTTAGAAACTTGTTACATTCCTCTATAGTTGCATTCCTATAACATGCACAATATCAGTCCCAGTTTTAATTTAATTTAGTTTTATGAATACTATCGATTGTACTATTTGACATTTTTATGAGTAAATCTAAACACATTTTTCAAGGCTACAAATTTATTTTTAAGAGCATTGCTCCCAACACAGGTTTGCTTAACTTTATTTCTTTTCTACAGCTCATTAACCAGGTGGTATTCAAAGGTGACCTTCCAAATGCCCAATGAAGAGGTTATCAGTGGGTTCAGAATCTGCTTTTTAGCTGGTTTGCAGAAATATTATGAGGTAATACAGTGGTTTCTCAAGTAAAGAATACATCCATAGGTTTTTGCACTATGGTGTCCCCTTTACTTAGTATTTAAATCAAAAATAGGCTTTCAAGATTCTAATTCACAGTATCCAAAGGTTTTCAGACTGAGCTGTCATTGTGATAGCAGTGTTACCATCATCTAGCCTGATCTCTTCAGATCTCAAAGCTATGCAAAGCTAAGCTTGGTTGTTAAGGAAAACCAGGTTGTTGATGTTGGTGAATCAGCAGGTGGCACTCTTTTCTCTGAACCATATTTTTAAACCAATATCCCTGTATGGTAACTGGGGACACCTGTCTATAGGATTCTGTCCTTCAGATGAGACATTAAACTAAAGTTTGCCTGTTTGACGTCTGACATGGGATCTTTATTGAAATTGTAAACCCAAGAGTCCTGGCTAAATTCCACTCTGTAATTTTACTATCCTTTAGATTTAAAAGTGCTAAATGACTACAAAGACTTTTCTTTAAAACCTTTGCTTAAGAGGCTTTTTCAGAAGGGTCTTTCACTGTTTATCTTTAGGAATATCTGCAAACCACATTTTTAACATTGTTGATTTAACTTCTAACAACAAAGTGGTATATGGTTTAATGTGTGTCTGTGTTTTCCAAGATAAATCATGGCCTCCCAGACAAGATTGTGGTGTACCGAGATGGGGTGTCAGAAGGACAGTTAAAGATGGTGGAAAATTATGAGATCCCTCAGCTCTTGAAGTGTTTTGAGACTTTCCCAAGTTATGAACCGAAGCTGACGTTTATTGTGGTTCAAAAGAAAATCAGCACTGCGCTGTACTCCTTCTCTGGAGACCGGTTTAGTACTCCACCTCCTGGAACAATTCTAGACCATACTGTCACCAGTAAGGATTGGTAAGTCTGCGATGTAAATAAGGGTTTTCAGAGAAGCAGAATCGGAATCTCTCCTGTCCCACAGGTGGAATAGTTCCATGCTTATTTTTTTATCTGCCAAATTCCTGTTTTCATGACTACCATTTATGCAATCTGTCCCTTTCTACATTCTACACAGCTTCCAGCCCACCTGTCTCCTTTTCTAGTACTCTCCTGCTTAGACTATTACATCTCTTGACTGTATTCCATGAACACAATATCGGTCCACTACAGCTCATCCACAGTTTTGCTGCCTGCCTTGACTTTTCTGTCTTGCTATTCTTATTCCACTCTCTCCACTCATTGACTCTTGCCACACAATTCTGATTCAAAGACAAAGTTCTTTCTTGCTGCTGTCTCAGCCACTCTCCTCTTGCCTGTCTTCAGTCCCTTCCTCTCTACCTCTTTCAGAGCCTGTTCATACTCCACCTTCACTCTTTAGTGGTGAAATTAACTACTAGGCCACATATCTGACTTCTCAGCTCTCGGTTACATCCTTGAGTAAAGTTTTGTGCTTTAAATAGTCCTAATGTTTTTAATTGAGATTGGTACTGTGCAGATTTTACTTATTAAACATGGGTAGTTATAATCTAATGCCCTTGTCAAAGTGACAGATGGGCGGTGCCTGGGGATGTGTCCAGCCCACACTTCAGTCTTCAGCTTCAGCTTGTTTGTGTGTTGTCCCACATTGGTGTCCGGGTCACGAGAGCCTGGGAAAAGTCTACTATCTGACTAAAGAATCTAGCAGTTATGGTGGTGTGGCAGGGTTATTAAACGGAGCAGCCAAAGGGGGTCTGGGGGTGCCTCGGTTGGAGCTTTCAAAATTATCAAACCAGTACGTGGGTTCTGGGCATAAACCCAAGTTAGACAATTTTGAGCAAAATCCGATGGTGGCTCTAAAGCGGGACGGACAGTAGTTGGCTGACCTCTTTGCCCCCACCTTTGATGAGGGTAATAGGCTACAATTCATTACATGTTAGATGTCTAACAGAAATGCCAATGCAGATTCGTAAATGTAGTTTTTATTGTTTTCCGCGATATTTGTATTGCACTTTATTGTGCAATTTGAAACTTTGTGCTTACTTTATTACCATTTTTAATTATTTTATAGTGCTGGCATGTTACAGTCGGTTCCTTTTGTACTTAGAAATAAAAATATAAAATGTTTTTTGCAAGCTACTCAGTATAGGGGCATCTGATAAGCCTATGTTATTTTAAAAAGTATATTGACCTAGATCCTAGCTTTTAAAATATTCGGCCTTCTCAGACACAAAGTCTGACCCTTATTTACTAAAACTGTACCCAAAGTTAGGAAAAAATTAGGAAAACCCAGAGCTGTCACCTGTAGAAGGCTAATGTAGACAGCATTGTCTTTGCCTTTGAAGCAATCGCCACAAACAGGACTCTGAAAATCTTAAGCCTGTAAACCCTCTGCTCTGAACTAAACTAAAGTTTTCACAAACATGTGCCTGGTAGAAGCCTTGTTGATTCATTTTATGATTCTTGAATACAGCATGAATACAGGTACAGATGCAGCCATTCAAAGTGCGCGGTACAGACACATACCGCAGGTAATTGGCTGCGGTGTCGCGTATCATGACGCTGGGTACCGCGGTACGTGATTGGTTGACCGACAGGGGCACTCTTGGTCCGTTGGTCTGTCGTAGAAAGACTTACTGTAAACGTCTTTACTGTGCCCGTTGTAGATATTGAATTTTACCACTGAAGGGAAATCTTAGTAGCTCAGC